CTCGATCCCAGGACCCTGGGATCATGACCTGAGCTGAAGGCAGATGCTTAACGACTGAGCCACCCAGGCGCCCCAAAATACTTTTAAATTTAAAAAAGCCAAAATTATGTCATTTTATTTTTTACTCCAGAAGTTGCTAGCTAAGGACAGCATATGATGAAATAGGATTTTTGAAAGGAGGAATGTAAAATCTCAATAATTTATATAATTTTAGCTGCTTTAAAAAAAGATCCTTTTTATTTGGTCATAACTCTTCAAAGGAGTCAGTGGAAACTCCAGGAAGATGAAATTAAGTTCCACTCATTTACCTCCCTCTGATACTTGCTATTTAGCTTTCTTGGAAGCTCATTTATTAGTTATTTTAGCAGCCTATGTATTAAAGCTTAATGTATGTATTGTCTCAAATTCAAAATTTCTGAAGACCCCAGTTTTTGGTCAGATAATTTTTTTTAATTACAAGTTTGCATACTATCTACAAAAACGATTATAAAGTTAAATTTTAGAGGATACTTGTGGTAGATAGAACTCTAAAACAGGCCCCCAAATTTCCTGCCCTAATCTCTGAGATTGTGACTATGAGAAGATACCACACCTATGGTTATTTATATTACACAATAAAAGGGATTTTGCAAATGTCACTGAGGTCATTAGTTAGTTGACGCAGTTCATCAAAAAGGAGACTATCCAGGTAGTCCTGACCTGATGACATGATTAAGGCAGAATTTTCTCCACTGGTGGCAGAAGAGGAAGCCAAAGAGACCTGAAGCATGAGGGAGATATGACACATTACTGTGGGCTTAAAGATGGTGACAAGCAATGTGGGTGCCCCTAGGGAACTGAGATGGGTCCCTGGCCAAGAGCCAGCAATGAAATGGAGACCTCAATTCTAAAAGCATAAGGAACTGAATTCTGTGGACAATTTAAATGAGGTTGGAAGTGGATTTTCCCTGAATCTCCAGTCAAGGACTCAGTCCAACTGACATCTTAATTACAGCCTTATGATACTCTGAGCAAAGAGCCCACTGGACTTACAGCTTATAAAAAAAACTATGTGCTAATAAGTGGGTGTTATTTTAAGCTATCACGTTTGTAGTAGTTTATTATGGAACAACAGAAAACTAACACAGTGCTGAGGAATTATTATTAAAAAGGAAAAAAAAATCAACTAAAGATCTGACTGCTACATTTTTCAGAGTGCCTAGGTTCAAAGTGGAATTATTAAGTTGTTTCATGTTGAGAAAAACAATGTGTGTTAAGAGTAGAAGTGATAATTCTTAGGAAATGGGGCAAACTGAAACCCAGAACAAATACGGAACATTCACATTGGATTTCAATTATAGCAAAATGAAATTATACATAAAAAAATCTAGATATTTCAATTTCAAACTCAAGGGAAACATTTTTAGTAGAAATACTTACCCTATTTTGAAAAAATGATGCATGAAAATGTGATGTTGTAGCAGATATTGATACTAAAGTAATAGTTTCTTCAGAACTAGGATTATGTAAGTAAACTTTTTCCATTTTTGGCATTCCAACTGGCCTGTAAAAAAAAAAAAACAAAAACCTGTCACAAATATTTCAAAGATCATTTCTAGTTGTTAAAAAAATTAAATATCAAAACTATTGGACAAATACATATCCAAACATCTAAAACTATTATAAATTGGTTTATATTTAAAATTACACACGAAAATGCATTCAACAAATATATGATGAGTGCCAATTTTATGTCACACACTGAGCCAGGGGCTGGTATATGATGAAGCAAGTCTCTGCTTGGAGGAAGCTTACAGTCAAGTGAGGAAGCAGGCAGGGAACAAAGTGGTCAGATGCTTGCACTGCTTTCTGTAATACCACCCTGCTTTCCTACTGATTCTTTGTTTTTTTTTCTTTTAAATGAGATAAATTATGCAAAGTGTTTTGGCATACAGTAATTGCTCCATAAGATTCGGTATTATGATTATTATACTAGAATCCCTAATAAATGTAGCTGTTCTTTGTTGTGAAAAATAAATAAATAAATAAATAAAAAATAAATGTTCATGTCCTTTTCTCCCCAAATTCCACTGATACATGCTCTTCAATTTAGGAAAAACTGAGTGGCAAAAGTTATGTGAGCCGATCTGCCTTATGAGTTAGGGGCAATTATTGTCCTCATTTTATAGATGAGGATACTGAGGCACAGAAAAGTTACTTAACTTGTCCAAAGTCATACTTGGAATCTAAATTAGAATCCAGACCATCTGGCTTTAGTCCATGTTCTAACTGATTATACTAAACTCTGCTCTCAAAGTAACAACATAAAACACACACTCAATGGTCTGATACCCACAGATGCATTTTAATGTTCTCCTTGGCATCCACATTATAGTTTGTCTTAAAAGTGAAATCTCCTCAGTTATGTAGTCCATTGAGTACGTACACAGCTAATCTTAGTTGTACAGGCCTCCTGATTCCTACAGCATCAGAGAATTCTGCATATAAATTACATTTCTTCTTAATGCTCTCTAATCATTTAATTGGCACCAGTCTTACTTCCTCAACAAGATTATCAGCACCAGTTCGGACAAAGGTTACATTATATATGCACCGTGCAGTCTCCACGTTATCTAGCACAGGCACTTGGTAAGAGTGTGCATGGGTGAGCTTGCTCCCCTCCACACCCCTCCCCAGTGGAAATTAAGGTCCTCCGTAACCTGACATCACTCAACCTAAACAAGTAACTAACTCCCTATGTTTTCACAGCCTTCCAACCTGGCTCAGGCTGGTTTCATGGGCATAGCCCCCCATGCCTTTACCAATCTCTTTGTTCTGCGTTTTCCTCCCTATCCTCTATGCCAATCCAAATCCTCATTTTCTAATTCAAATACAATTTCTTTCACAAGGTTCTCTCCTCAGGCAACTATTCTGGTCCACATTTTCATTTTTTTCATGCTACTGCTCTCCTTGAACACTCCACCCCCATACATACACAAACAACAATGCTGGAAAAATGTAGAAGCTAGAGAAAGGTACTGATCCCAAGGATTAACTAAAAAACAGCAAGAAACCCTTGGGGGAACAGAAGGTTGCCTTGAACTGGAAGGCGGGGAAAAGTGAGGGACAAAGAATAGCCTAAGCTGACAAGGAGAGGCTAGGGTAGAGGAAGTCTTCAAAACTTTATTCTTCTCCATTTCCTTCCCTGCTTGCCTTGGGACAATCAAGAGCCTGCCCCCTCAAACTAGAACAGCAGAGGGGCTTAGAGAGGTAAAAATCTGATAATCAACTACCCTGGAGCATACCCACCTCTAACTCCTCTCTCTGGTCCTCCAAAGACCAAGAGCTGTTTGATTACAATTTAGGAAGACCCCTCCATCCAGATGATTCTGCTTAAGCACTATCAGATAGAGTGGTGGCCAACATAGGACAATTACCAGTTTTTACACATATGTGAGTGTGGAACTGGATCTTTCTTCCTTGGGGATAATCTCCCCTCTTAAATTCACAAGAGACAAGAACCAAAAAGGCTTGGTATTCTGCCTTACCTCAATATGCGTTACAAGACAGGAGCTCTTAAGTTCACACATCAAAATAACATGATCTGTGAGGAGTATAATCAGTTAGAAAACATACCATGTTGTGGTAAACTGCAGTGTTCCTAATCTGCTGACAGAACCTGTGAGAGGATTATACTTCTCCTCTTCATTAACATTAGGCTTGGCCATAAGATTTTCTTTGGCCAATGAAATGTGAGTAAAAGTGACATATAACATTAAGTTTTTTAAAAGTCATCTTTTACTCTTTCCTCTTGTACATTGTTCCAAGAAATGCCATTTCTCAGATAGGAGTGCTGATTTCAGTCTACATCCCACTAAGATTTTGGGGCTGGTTGTGGTCACAGTATATTTAACTTGGTAAGTTCTGCATAATATACACACCTGAAGTTGGAAAAGTTGAACCAAGAACTAAAAATAAGCACAATAGGATATATTTAAGGAGATATGGCAAGACATTAGTAAAACAAAGTAAGAAATCCTATAGAAAAAGAAAATATTAGTATAAAAATATAATGTATAAAGGTGGATAAAAATCTGTTAGTGAGTTGGAAGATCAGACTGACAATTTAGTTCAGAATTCAGCAAGAAAAAAATATATAGAATATTTTAAAAGAGCTAAAAGAAACAAAAGAGAAGCAGATATATAGGGCATAACTAGAAATGGTAATGTTTAGAAGATGGACTATAGGAATATTTAAAGAGTATGGACAAAATTAATGGGTAAAATCCAAACTTTAAAAAAAATGACAAACTAATTCTTTTTCTTTAAAGATTTACTTATTTGAGCAAGAGTGCATGCACATACGTTGGGGGAAGGGACGTAAGGAGGAGGGAAAGAGCAGAGGGAGAAGGGGAGAGAAACTTTAACAGACTGCACTCAGTGAGGAGCCCAACCCGGGGCTTGATCTCATGACCCTGAGATCGTGACCTGAGACGAAACCAAGAGTGGGAGGCTTAACCGACTGTGCCACCCAGGCACCTCAAATATAAACTAGTTCTTAACTGAAAGGGTTTATGAAGTGTCAACAAGGAGAGATAAGGAAACCCTGTACTTAACAGAATAAAATTTAAGAGTTCTTTATACAATGTGGATTAAATTGTCTTATGAGATTTTTGCAAGTATTTTCTCCCATTGTGTGGAGTCTTTTCACTTTCCTGATGGTATCATTTGCAATACAAAAGTTTTTAATTTTTTATGTAATTCAATTTGTGTATTTTGTCTTTTATCACTGGTGCTTCTGGAGTCATATCTAAGAAACCACTGCATAACAGAGATATATTCCAATATTTTCTTCTAAAGGTTTTATAGTTTAGCTTTATTACATTTACATCTAGATCTATGGTACACTTTGAATTAATTTTGTGTGAGGCAGGGATCCAACTTAACTCCTTCATATGTGGATACCCAGTTGTTCCAGCACCATTTGTTGCAAAGACTATTCTTTATCTATTTGTTTTGGCACCCTTGTCAAAATCAACCGGCAATAAATGTAAAGTTCTATTTCTGGGATCTAAATCCTTTTCCATTTATTTATGTCTTTCCTTATGGCAGTGTCACAGTGTCTTGACTAAAGCTTATGTGAAGTTTCTAATATTGGGCACTGAAAGTTCTCTATTGGTCTCCTTTTAAAAGAATGGCTATTCTGGATCCCTCTTATTTCACGTGAATTTTAAGGTCAGCCTGTCCATTTCTACAAAAATGTCAGTTGGGATTTTGATGGGGATTGTGCTGAATTCATAGATCAATTTAGGGAGTATCGCCATCTTTATTCTGATCTATGAATATGAAATGGCTTCCATTTATTTAGTTCTTTAATTTCTTTTGACAATGGTCTGCTGTTTTTAGTACACAGGTCTTATATTACTTTTGTTAAATTTATATCTAAGTATTTTACTCTTTTTGAGTTATTATAAATGGAATTGTTTTCTTAATTTTTAATTGCTCATTGCCAGTGTATAGAAATATAATTTATTTTACATACTGATCTTATATCCTGTAACCTTGCTGAACTCATTCTATTTTTTTAAGTGGATTGCTTAGGATTTTCTATATACAAGAGTATAACATCCAAAAATAAAGATGGTTTTACTTTTTCCTTTCCAATCTGGGTGCCTTTTGCTTCTTTTTCTTGCATAACTGCCCTGGTTCTTGATGCAGGGAGAAATCTTTCAGTCTTTCACCATTAAATATGATGTTAGCTGTGGGACTTTCATAGGTGTTCTTTATCAGGCTAGGGAAATTCTCTTCTAGTCTTAGTTTTTTTGAGTGTTATTACCCTGAAAGGATGTATTTTCAAATCCTTTTTGTGTGTGTGTTTACTGACATGATCATGTTTTTCTCCCCTTTATTGTATTAACATGGTGTATATTATATTAATTGAATTTCAGATGTGGGCTTGAATTCACGATCCTGAGATTAAGACCTGAGCTGAGATCAAGAGTCAGTTGCTTAACCGACTGAGCCACCCAGGCACCCCGGTATATAATCATTTTTATGTGTTGCTGATTTTGGTTTTTATTATTTTGTGGATGAATTTTAACAAAAGGGGTATTGGTCTGTTGTTTTCTTGTAGTGTCTTTGTGAGGTTTTGGTAAAATGGTAATGCAGGCCTAACATACTGAGTTGGGAAATGTTCCCTCTTCTATTGTTTGGAAGAGTTCGTAGTGGATTGGTATTAATTCTTCTTTGAATTTTTGGTAGAATTAATCAATAAGGCTTTCTGTGCATCTGAGCTTTCATTCTGGGAAGTTTTTTGATGACTAATTCAAACCCTTTATAAGTCTATTCAGACTTTCTATTTCTTCTTAGGTCAGTTTTGGTAATTTGTGTCTTTAGGAATTTGTCCATTTCAACTGTTAATGAATTTGTTAGCATATAATTGTTCATGGTATCCCCTTATAATCCTTTTTTAAATTTCTATAAGGTTAATAGTAATGTCACCTCTTTCATTCCCGATTTTAGTAATTTGAGAGTCTTTTCTCTTTACTGCTTGGTCAGTCTAGC